GCCGCTAGCTTCTGCCCCGAGCACCGGGCACTTCGGCCTTGAGGCCAAGCGTGGGCATGACGCTCCTGAAAGCATGCATTCATTGTTGGTTTTTACCGCTTCCCTGTCACCTTCTGTTAAAATGGATCGTTTTATCCTCCTCCTTTTGGGTGGGAGCAGGACAGCGCTCAATCTCGATTGTCCTTAAGACCCCTGGAAACGAGCTCAGTTTCTGGGGAAACAGCGTGGTATGACTTGAGGTAGACGGGAACTGAAATTCGAGTAGAAGCTGCGCAACTCGTGCAGACCCGATTGCCGTTTGCAAATCTTCCCCGCAGGCGAGAAATGATGCCGCTGCTGTCCTTGCTCTTCTCAGCGCTCTTCATCCTCTTCGGCACCGTTATTGTTCAGGCTTTCAGGTGAGTGCACGCCAAAAACGTCCTGGGGGACCTGAGGGTCCGGCCGGTAGCGCCTCCGTCCAATCTGGTGCCTGAAACACACACAAGATGATCTTCCTTTGCAGCGATTCGAGTGACACAAGGGACTCTCCTCCCTCCGAGAAAGAAGAAACCGCCGCAAAGACCGAGAAGAACGACGCGAGCTTCAGCAAAGAGAGTAACAGGTTCCCTCTCTGACTTCTCCGGCAACGTTTTCTGCCGAAGCATTGCTGGGGGAGCGAGCGCGCAGAGGGCGTTAGGGGGCCGGCTGAGAGGCACCCGAGTCGCACGGACGCAGCGCAGTCGTTGCGCGGGGCAGCACGGGCACAGCGAGGTGGGCAGGGGCGGCCTTCAGCCGGAACCCGGGCCAGCACAACCTTAGTTCTTAAGCGATTCCCAAGGCCAAGTTTGCCCCAGACAACAGCCTCGGGGTGCGGGGGGGTAAAGCTCTGACCAGGTTGTTGAGCAAGAGCCAAGTCTGGCCCTTGCACCACCGACACTGGCTTTAGCTACAGGGCACGGGGAGGGCTGGGTGTAAGGGGGCAGGGGCTGCGTTGGCGGGTTCTCCACCCTCGGGCACTCGCAATCCCTCGTTCCCCTTTCACTCAGTCGCCGGTTTGTTGCAGCAGGATTCCCAAAAAGGGCTTTGTCGAGGTGACCGAGCTAACAGACGTCAACTACAACAGCAACTTGGTCCGCCTGAGGCCGGGACACATGAACGTGGTCTTGATCCTCTCCAACTCAACCAAAACCATCCTCCTCCAGAAGTTTGCCCTGGAAGTCTACACGTTCACAGGGTAGGCTGGGGCCCTCGCCCGGGTTTCCGTTACGGTTTTAAACAACTTGTGTAATGCTGCTCCGATGAGAGTTAGGAGCGGCGGCGGCTCGACCGCCCGGAGGGAACGCTTCTGGCGAGTGAAGCGGCCTCCACCTTCCGTGTTAGCGGCAACGAGCCGCCAAAAACTGAGCAGCCTTTCCCGGCTGGCCTCAATGAATTTTTTGGTCTGGCGCCGCCACCGCTTCGGCTGTAGCTGCGTTTCAAAGGACAGAGAGCACGGCCGTGCTGCGCGCTGGGTCACGGTCACCTGTGCCAAAGTGGGTTAAAGGAGGAGCTGTGTCCCGCGACACAGCGCTGCGCCTGCCCTCCTTGACAAAAGCTGACCTGTCCAGTAGGAATCCGGCCTGACTCGAGAGACCTGCTAATCCTGCTTCTCCTCTGCTCTTCCCCCAGGAGCAGCTCCCTCCATTTCTCCTTCCTCAGCCTGGACAAGCACCGAGAATGGCTGGAGTACCTGCTAGAGTTCGCGCAGGACGCGGCCCCCATCCCAAACCAGTATGACAAGCACTTCCTCGAGCGCGACTACACGGGCTACGTCCTGGCTCTCAATGGCCACAAGAAATATTTCTGCCTCTTTAAGCCTCACAGATCAGGGGACGAGGGGGGAACCCTGGGGTCGTGTGAGGATTACAACTCCTCGCTACACCCGGAAGCCAGAGGGAAATCCTCCTGCAGCCCGGGCTCTCGCTCCATAAAAAGCAAGTTACACAAATTGTCCTTTTGGATGGAACGCCTCCTCGAGGGCTCCTTACAGAGGTTCTATATCCCCTCGTGGCCCGCGCTAGACTGAGGGATTTTAAAGAGCTTCTCACGGACACACTTTTTATGAAGATGACAAGGGACAGCTCTTTCCAGGAACACACACACAAGCGTGACGAATGGACCTTAGGTTTTAGATGTACTCTCCTAGGGCCGGCGACTAGAAAACCTCTCCCCACGGCCGGAGCCCAGGAGCGCAGCCAAGCGCACCGAAATTCCCTCCACCGGCTCGTCGTGCGTTTGGACGCCGCACTACCGAGGAGCTGAGAAGTCTGGTTTTTCCCTTCTTGTCCTGCCGCGTCTGCTTCCCGAGTCGCCCCCGTTTCCATCTCTCGTTTTACCTCGATCAAAGGAAAAAAAAACCCAAAACCCATGACTTCTCTGCTGCGGTGACTCGGTCCGGACCGAACGCAGCCGGGGATGCAGGTTGGGGCGTGGTTCTCTCTCCCCTTCCCCGTGTGCTTAGCCCGTGGTGCATGGCGTAACACTGGCAAGACCCTGCAGACCCTCCCAGGCCCTGCCCTTCTGAAAGGCCTCCTCCCACCAGGCGGTCTTACTTTCCTCAGCTTTCCCCGTGTGGTAAGTGATCTGGAATGTGGTCAGGAGCGTCTCCCTCATAGCAGACCTGTAGCTGGGACGTGCCTGTGGTGCAGGCGAGTAGGCGATCTGCATGTTTCGTGCTCCTCGTGTCCTAGTTCCACGTGCAGCCTCACCGGCTAAACCGTAACCGGGGAGGGCAGGGGTTTTGCACGGTCGTAAATACTGCAAAAGTGTGGAGCCATTTAAATGTCACCTTGATTTTTTCGGATGCCTTTCTGCTTCTGTCGATTTTAGACAATGTTATCCTAGAGCCATAACTTTGTGTCCTCAGATTGTAGGCGTGAGCTGCTACGAGCCAGTAGATGCGTACAAGAAACTCTACCTAGCTGCTAGGGAGTCGCTCCGGGCTCCTTTCAAACACCCTTACGTCTGTAGTACAAACCACCCTTTCTTTGTATCAAGGAACGTAATTCATCGATGATTGTAGTCTTGACACGTTGCCCCAGAAGTGCTGTATCACTGAACCGTCGCTTACGTGTAAAACTCCTTTTGGTTTAGGCGTGCGTTTCGGACGCCTCATTTCAGCCTCACACCCGTTTCTTTCTTGCCCCAAACCTTCGTTTCTCAAGCCGCAGGCTGGTGCCTTGGGTTTTGGTTTGTTGGCCTTGGGCTTTCTTCCTCTTCTGGAACTCGTAGATGTCTGTGCAAAGCTAGGGCAGTCGTTGAAGCGCGGGGTTTGGTTTCGGCTTTGCTCTAGCCGCTCGCAACGCCGCGGTGGGGAAAGGGCAGCCCTCGGGAAGGCGAGCGGCAGGCTGAAGGCCACTTGCCACTCCCCGAGCGATACAGCAAAGCAACAGGGACCGAAATCCTGCGGGGCTTGTTCTTCCTTTTCACTGCTCCGGGGCAGGCTCCGGTGCCCAGGCCAGTCCTCACTGCACCTCCCCACCCCAGGAGCAGTCTGGCATGCTTCGACCCCCACAGGTCTCAAACACCGTGTACAATGTACTTCCAAATAAAGGCTACGATGCTACCAACCGACCCCATGTGAGGTTACTTAATTTTGCCTCAGCGGACTCTGGGCCGCAGCTTGTGCCGCCGCAAGAACGTGGCACTGAAGTAGAGGGAAGGACAGAAGGCGAGGTCTTCTCCCTGCCAAAGAGCTCCGAGGCACGCCTGGACCGCTGAAAGAGCGGGAGGGGGAAGGAAATGCTGGCCTGACGCTGCTAGACTTCGTTTTCATTTGGCCAGAGCAATTGCTGGAGCGCTCTGGTGCTTTTCCTGCAGCTTGCCGTGTAGGACGTGGCTAGAACAGCTTTTAGCCCTGCAGAAGGCTCTGTGAACCTTTTTAAGCGTTTGCAAAAGCAGAAGTCTACTCTCTGGGTCTCCACTGTCTCTTCAGCAAGTCAGAAACCAGGAGAAAACCATGGAAAAAAAAACAGGAGAAACGTGGGAAAAAAAAAAAAAGTGCCTAGTTGTGCTAGGGTCAGGGAATTCAGCCCCGCCCCAAGGAAGGAGAGGAGGCCTTGTGGCCTTCAAAATACAGTTCATGTGCTGCACCCCTGCTGGCATCCGTGTTTTCTTTCATCTTTTTAGCATGGGTAACTTCCCCTTTTAGACTGAGCGTTGCGGAAGGAGCGCTTGTGGCAGTTCACCCTCGCCGGCTGCGGCCGGCCGGGAGCACAGCTCCTCTTCAGCTGTAACTGCCCTTCGCTGCTTTCAACCAGGTCAGACCAGGCCTCGCTGGTTTCTGGAGAAACTTCTTTTCACGGGCCGAAGCAAACGCCAAACTCTTCTCGACCCCTCGTTCGGTTTAGCTTTGGTGCCCTTCGTGGAGCACCGGGTGCTCGCTTGCTTGTAGAAGAGCGTGGTCGGAGGCTGCTTACGCCCGAGGTCCGCCCGCCCTCGCCCAGCACCTGCGAGCCCGATCGTTTTCTAACCCGCCGCCCCCAGCCGCGCTCGACCCGGAGCGTAACGTATCGTCGGCGAAACTCGCTTGCGCTTCTGCTATGCACGTGGCGGTTCGTTCACCCAAAGATGGAGGAGATTCAGTCCTAGCGCGCTGGTGTAGCGATCGCTGAGCAATCGCGCGCCGCTCGGAAGCTGAAGCAAAGGGACGCAGGCCCCCGCTCGAAAGGTGGTACCAAAACTCCTCGCGGGACCGAGCGTGGTGAGCAGCTCTGCTGTTCACCGAAAGCTTGCCAGGAAACTAGCACGCTACCGCAGCCCG